CGTCTCTTTAAGCGACTATGGTGACTCCAAGATGTCGTCTCTTTAAGCGACTATGGTGACTCCAAGATGTCGTTCCTTTAAGTGATTCTTCGTTCTCTGGATTCTGCGACCAATGAGCTGCGTGCTTTGGTCACGTGGGCGTGTGCGCGTCTCCGAGTCTCCCTCCACTCTCTTTTTCTCTTTCTCTCCCCCCTCTCTCTCTCGCTCTCTGTCTCTCCCCCTGCTGTCTCTCTCTCTCCCTCTCTCTCTCAGACGAGCATCCACGAGCGGAAGTTGTTGCGGTTGACGGATCTGCGGAGAGGAGAGTAGATAGATGTGGCTAACACCCACGAGACTAATGAACTATACGGAGTGATTTACTGTTGAGAGACCTGTTACTAATTACCCACAGCGATGACCACGCACTGATCCCGTCTCCGATATATACTAGTCTGGGTATTCCCGCTGCCTTCCCTTTCTCTATTATTGTCTTCCCTCTTCACTTCACCTTTCGTGTCTCACCCTCTCTCGGACCCTTTCCACTCCCCTTTGTGCCACCCTTTTCCCTCGCATTCCCTGCCCTCCTCCTCCCTCCTGCGTGTGTGCGTGTGTGTGCGTGCGTGCGTGCGTGCGTGCGTGCGTGGGCGTGCGTGTGTTTACGGTAGGCCAAGTGTGGGCCACAGCACATATCTATACACACGCACGCACGCTCACGTAGACACGCACGCCCACACGCACACAGAAATAGTCACACACACGCCGATGTACACACACATAGCGTGCCTAGCATAGTTTTACGAATAACGTACACAGCGATATCTCGTCTCGGGGGCCTCTGTGTAAAGGGCAGGGATATAGAACTCTCCAGTTCGGCCTTACATGACTCCGTGCCCAACCCACCGTATTCCCGTGTACGCGGGCCAGCATATAGCGGTCACAGACACGCGGTTTTACCTAGAAACGTGCGTGAATGCTGTTCTTTTTACTGGGTTCCTACTACGCGCACACACGCGCGCACATACGCGCGCGCACACACATACACACACACGTACACACACGCAAACGCACACACACACACACACAAACACACGCACACGCACACGCACACGCACACGCACACACACACGCACACACGCACACACGCAGGAGGGAGGAGGAGGGCAGGGAATGCGAGGGAAAAGGGTGGCACAAAGGGGAGTGGAAAGGGTCTGAGAGAGGGTGAGACACGAGAGGTGAAGTGAAGAGGGAAGACAATAATAGAGAAAG